TCCTAGGGGGGGCATGACAGAAAATAATGGAGAAGCACTGCCCTAAGGTGATCCTATTATGTTTTTTTTCTTGGCAAGAGTTGTTCAAGAGGGTTTTCTATTGCCTTCCTCTAAGGCTGAGATAGTGTGACTTGCCCAAGGTCACCCAGTGGGTTTCCATAGCCAAGACAGGATTTGAACCCTGGTCTCCAGAGTCACAGTCCAATGCACAAACTACTATGCCACACTGGCTTTTGGAGTTTCACAGAATATATAAAAGATCCTTTTCATTTCAGACACAACAGAGCCAATGAGTTTTTAGTTTGTCCAATGTCAATTTGGCAAGCCTTGAACAAAGTTCGTGTTTTCTTTTCCTGACATTTCCCAGCTGTTCAAAACATGTATTTGCTTTTGAGAAGAAAGTTAGAAATGATTTAGTGTTGCTGTATCTTACCTTGGGCAGGAGGTTTCTTCTTACTAAATTTCTTTAGCCGATGGCAGGCACTGAGCACTATTCTGCAAAGAGAAAAAGCAAAGTAAACTACAGGAATTAAAAGTGAAAGGGAGGTGGGAATAGTATACAGTATAGGGAGTGACAGCTACCTATCATGGTAAAGCGAGACCTCTAGTGGTCTGTAGATGTGCCTTATGTGCCACCTTTTCACAGATGAAAACAGGGAAATATTGATATAATCCCCTCTACTCTTAATGTATAGGCTGTGAACTTGCTTTTCTAGCCAAAATTAAACCAGCCATGCACAGGAAGGAAATATTAGCAGGCATAGTGGTTTGAATGTTAGACTACGACTATGGAGACCAGGGTTCGAATTCTGGATGAGCTGTGTAAACCCACTCAGAAGACAGCCATGGCAAGAAAAAAATACTTTCAAGAAACTTTCTAAGAAAACCCATGATAGGGTTGCCTTAGGTTCGACATAAGTTGGAAATGACTCGAATGCACACGACAGCAACAAGAAGGGAAACTCTTGTGAGAAAGCAAAGCAACACACACACACATTTAGTGGCCAGGGAATACAGTGGGCCTTGGGTATCTACTGGGGTCTGGTTCCAGGATTCCCCCCATGGATACCAAAATCCATGGATGCTCAAGTCCCATTAAATACAATGGCATAGTAAAATGGTGTCCCTTTTATAAAATGGTAAAAATCAAGGTTTGCTTTTTTGGAATTTATGTATTTTAAAAATATTTTCAAGCTGTGGATGCTTGAATCCATGGATAAA